GCTAACACTTCCCTTTTCATTGGGCCTCGTAAGCTTGTTTTAGGCTTTGAGGTGCATCCTCTTAACTACCAGAATAATGTGGCCCAATAAAAGTGAAAGTTTTAGCCGGAGAATGCAGAAGGTGAGTGCCCTTAGCACTCCTCTGTTTTTATTTTCTTTATTTATTTTGATCTTTTCAACTGGATCCTTCCATTTTATTTCTATTAATTTTTTGTTTCTTTCTAAGTAATTGGCCCTAATCGTTTTATCTCTAAAGTTAGGTGTGTTTGTGGTGGGTTTTTGGTGAGTTTTGTTTTTGTTCTTTTAAATTTTCATTCCAAATCTATACTCATTGAATTTTATTCTTCAATAGGCACATGTGGCTCGTCAAGAGGTATCTCATACTTTTACCTCTTTTTTCGGGTTTCCCTATTTTTTAAGTTTAATCTTTGAAATCTATTTTTTTTTATTTCTTTTGATTGAATTTTTAAAATTTTAGTTATCCCTTAATTTCTTTCTACTGAATTGTAGGTTCCGGATGCTAATAGTGGGCAAGGCTTTTCCCCAAATAATCGTTCCTCTTCACAATCAAGCCATCACCTTTTGTTTCACCAAAATGAAAGTAATGAAGAAAATGATGGGCAAAGGGATTGAAAGGCATGTTTGTGTCTCCCTACTTGACAGTTTAAAGACTAATGACTTTCTAGTTTGATAGATGCATTTTCTTTTAGATAATTTTACAACTTTCGATATGAGATACAAGCTATTTTTTCAAAGTTGGGAACTGTATGAAATCGTCAATGCTTTCAGCTTTAATTATGTTTTGAATCAAATCATGGGTTACGGCAATGTTCTGTTGCAACTTTGTCTTGTTCAAAAGAGGTCAATTTGAGTACTGATTTGTTTGTATGTGTTAAAGAATGTGTTTTCTTGTGAACGTGTGTTGGTTTATGGTCTTCTAATTTGTTCTAAGTGAATGTGTGATATGGATGGTTCATGTAACTAGTGACATGCTTATGATATGCATTTTCTTGTTGTTATTAATTCTCTTATGAATGAATGACTGCAATTTCTATGGAGCAAATTATAGGAGGTTAGACTTGCTTTTATTATGTGCTGTAGAATTATAGCTGAATTCTTCACTCACTTAATAGTATTTTGAGTTTTGCAATTTTTGCATAACTGGTTTGTTTGTTAAAGGTTTGAATTATTTATTACAATTTTTTTTATTGAGGAAATCGATCTATTTGGGGAGATTACTGGAATATTATTTAGTCCAGACACAGAAGCTCTCTTTTTTTTGGGGGACTAAAATTTACATATGGTAGCTTGTTAGAATTTGTTGTGCGTTATAATCAATATCTTGACTCTATTTGGTAGTTACATTTTGGCTTTTACCTACATAATTGGTAGACAACTATTTATATTTAGTGGAGGTTTATGATTCCTCCCCAAGGTGTGAGTATCATTTTGATGCTAAGAAGCTTTCCATAAGGTGACTACCCTTTTGTTCAAAGAATTTTATGAAGATTTTGCTTTTGTAAAGGTATTTGTGTATTAATTATAATTTTAGTTTTTTTAATCTCTGATGTAAGTTTGTTATGAAAATAAAGGTTAGATTATATATATTGTTGAAATTATAATTTCAAATATATATTAAATGTTATTTCTTCTTTTTTCTTCTTTTTTCTTATGAGGAACAACACTTTGGGTTATTTATATGATACGATTTAAACTTGGGTCTAGTTACATGGAGGACAAAGACAACTTTGCAATTTACTTTGTGGTATGTCTTCATTCCTAAATCCTTACCCAGAGAATTATGATATGAATGTTTGTCCTGTATATTCAATGTATTTCATACATGTATGTACCCCATTAGTCTGGTTTTTTGACAAGTCTCTAACTTTGTTTTATAATGTAGTTTGGTTGGTTGATGAATGTATGAAAGTTTAGATGTGAGTTCTGGGGTGCTGTGCTTCTTGTTTGGCTCATAAAGGCTTCCGCTTGTCACTCGATCATTATCATACTGATTGCAATCTTTGGTTTACTATTTAGGAGGTTGTGTTTATTTGTTCTTTGAAATTTTGCATTTTTTTTCTTGTTAAGTTTCTGACAATGGATCACCGAGACATGAAACACCGTTCTATACATCTCCTGAACCTGTATGTAGTTTTATCAACTTCAAATGGATTTGGTGTTGGAGTTTATGTTTGATTTTGAGGGCTAGCTGCTAGGGTTCATGTGATACCCCAAAAATTTCTAGAATAAATAAGTGAGTTAAGGACTAAATTGTAGAAAAATATTATGTTAGGGCTTAATAGCAAAATTTGCTAAGTTGAGGGGCTTAAAAAGGGAAAAGATTTTGGATAAGGATCGGAGGATTTCTTTCTTCTTCCCAGCCTTGCCCGATTCTGCTCTTCTTCTCCTTTCTTCCCGCTGCAGCCCAAAAAGGGTACCCGACAGCCTTCCTTGGAGAAACCGGTGAGATAAGCTTGATTTCTCCTTCTTTTCTTGCTCTAAAACACATAATGGAACCCAGAAATTCTCCCCCCTGCAGGAAGCTTCCAGATCTGCTCTGCTCTTCCCTCTGCTGTCCGCCGGCTGCTCTTGTTGTGGGTGCGAATTCTGGGCATTTTTAGGTAAGAAACAGCCATGATTTCCTCTTTTTAGCTTTGATTTAAGTTGGGTTCCATTAATTTTGAGTAACCGTGAGTCCCCTGCAGAATTTTCCTTCCATGCCGCCGGCTCTTCCCCAAATTGCAGCTCCGGCCTTGCTTGCTGGATTCTGGTATGTGGCAGCCTTAAACCATTGTTTTTAAGCTTGATTAAGGTAGAATTAGCTTGATTAGTTTGCTGCCGTGTGATGTCCGAATTTGACAGAAAATTGGGGATAATTCCGGTAGCTTTAGGATGAGATTTAAGCACTAATTCAAGTGGGATTTATGTGATTGAGTGTTAATTGCTTGTTGTGATTTTTGGAGAGAAAATCCCGTGAATTAGCTAGTGTTTTGGCCAATTTTTGGAAGTGCAGTTACTGTTCACGTCGTGGTATTGTTCACATCACTGTTCACGGGGCACTGTTCACACACCGAGGGCCAACAATTAACGGGGATTTAAATGTTTAGTTTGTGATATAAGAATAAATTTGGAGATATCTGATCATGTGGAGATTGATAGAAATAGTATCATGATTAGGAGGTGATCCTAATAAAGTTTTCAGTTTGAATTTGTGATAGTGGTATTAATTCTTGAAATATTTTGATTAGGTTTCCGATCGTTCTGTCAGTTAGCACTAAGATTGAGTGCTCGGTTTTATGCGAGTGAGGTAAATAAATTTATGGTAATGCCTGTATAGTTTTTAAAAGCATGTTTTGATTTGTTTTTAAAGTGGTGGTGAGACTAAATCCGTTTTACACGAGCATGACTGATTTGAAGTGAAAGTTTTATGTTTTTCATTAAATTGAGCATGCCTACTTGAAATTTGATTGATTGTCCTGATGATCTGAAAGCGATTGGTGAATTGTGATTTTCCTGTTAACTTCTGCCTGTTTTGTCTCCGATGTGGTCATGTTATTGTAACCTTGCTAGTGGGGGTTAAACGCTAGCACATGTCGGCACATGTCGATATGTTAGTGATAGAGCCGGTTCGTACAAGTGACCCTGCTAGTGGGGATTATACACTAGTAAATCGTGTGCTTGCCAGTGGGAGGTTTATAACACTGGCCGTGACCTATAGAGGAGACGTCTATTTCGTTCCCGTACTGTATCCGTTTTCGTGATTGCACTTGTTGGCATGCTATAAGTTTAACTAAGGGCACTCCATATTTTACTTACTAAGTTTATCTCATAGTTTTCCTTGTCCACTATTTCAGGAAATGAAACCGAGGACGAGGAAACCATGGGAAGTGACGAGTTAGAAAGCTAACCATTTTGAGATTGATATAGGTTTTAGAAATAAATTATGATATGTAAACCAAAGTGGATTTGGAGATTTTATGATATTAAATTTTAAAGATTTGATCTTCAGATTTTGGTGGTATCAAAGTATGATATGATAAGTTCCGAGCCTTGTACATTTGTGGGACCCTCTCACAAGTGCACGGCGTCTGTCGCGCCTCAAATTTGGGTTTTGGAGCGTGACAGTTCAACTATGTTTCCTTCCTTTTTAGTTTTTATTTTTGGTTTGTACTTTCCCATTTTGTAATAAGAAATGCATTTCTTTTCCATTTTTATTTTTTATTTTTGGTTTGCACTTTGCCATTCTGTAACAAGAAATGCATTTCTTTTCTGCATCTCATAGATCATTTTATAATCCTGCACTTTGAGCTAGTCATTGGCTGCATCTATCACTTTTATCATAATTTATTGCTTCTTCCTTTCTACTTTTGTATTGACCTATAGTCTTCGCCCCTCAAAATGGTGTTTGTCATCTTTTGCTCTTTTGCACTTATCTATTTCTTGACTTTTTTATCCTTTTCTTTTTATTTGCTATCTTACCATAAACAAGGATTGAAGAACATAACTGACCTGAAACTAAAATGCCAGAGAATTTTAGGTTCCTTTAGGTTAGTTCACGTCTGAGCTGCATTCCATAATGGAATTTTATTAGGTCATATCATCCATTATTTCCCAAAATTTTTACTCTCTAATGCTATTCACATTTTTGTTTTTAGCTAAATTTGATTGGAGTATGGATAGACCTAGTATGTTTGTTGCCTTTCACAATCATCTGCAAATTTTAATTATTTATTTAAATAAAAAAGAAAAGATAAGATAATAGAAAAATATAATTTTCCTTCACTTCCTCTCTCTTTATTTCTCAACTAAATATAAATAAATTTGAGCGCATTTTAATAATTCATAAAAACAATCAAATTTGAAGAGTTTTAAAATGCACTCAAACACTTCAATTTGCTTATATGTCAGCTAAATTTGAAGAGTTTTCCCTTAAGTACTTCATGCATAGCTTAATAAAGAGAAAGAGGAAATTAAGAAAGTGATTAAAACAAACCATAGATGCTTCATTGTACGTAAGTTGAAGCATATGACTTTGTCCTCTTTTTTTTTACTTTTTTCTCTTCGGTCACAATTGAAATTGATTTAAAGATTACATTTAGATTTTTTGATTTGATGATTATATTTTTCATCATAAAATATACTCCTAAACTTAAATCTAAGGTTCAAATCTTCATTCTTTTTAAATTGTAATCTATTTAAAAAAAAAAAACTTAAAAATCTTCATTCTCTTTAAATTAATAATTATAGTCAATATAACAAATTTTAAATAAATAAATTAGTTAAATAAAATATAATTATACAAAAATATTATCCCTTATATTTTTCACAAATGAAGCATACAGTAACCTTTAAATTGTTAAACCGCGCGAATAGCAAAAAAGCACGCGGATTACTGACGTGGTGGAAAAAGGTTTTGAAATCCCGCCCAAGCGCAGACTCAATTTTTTGTCCATTTATTTTCCCCCTTTGCTTATTTCACGATCCACACCACACCAAATCGAATTGTCTATTTCCTCTTTTTCTCGCTCGCGTCTCCTTCTCTTCCAAAAACCCTAACTCTTAGGTAACTTGCTGTAGCAACTCAGTCATGTTTGCACCCTTCTGATAGATCTTTAAACGATTCTCATTGATTTTGACTATTTTTGGTGTAGGATTTGCCATGAAAAGGTGCTAGATCGAAGGTTGATTCGAAGGAAACTGCCAGCAAGTGAGTTTTATTCCTTGCTTTGCTTTGTTGTAACTTCTGAATCAATATTTTTTTTATATCATAGCGATTGCTTTGCAAATTTCAGTGTTAGCCTTTTCTGTTTACCGATGTCTTTTTTTTTTTTTT